GTGTATTTACAGCAAATACCAGGTTATGAGCTGGAAAAAGACAGCATGGTGTTAAAGCTGCAAAGGGCACTATACGGTTTACACCAAAGTGCACGTCTATGGCATGAATGCATAGACATAACTTTGAAAAAGATAGGATTCAAACAAAGCCTGGCTGATTCCTGTTTATATTGAGCAATGGTGCAAGGAAGTGTTTGTTATTTACTTTTGTATGTTGATGATATCTGTCTAATAACAACTGCACAAAAGCAAGTGTCTTGGTTTATAAACAGCCTAGGTAACAAATACAAACTGAAGTATTTGGGAGAGATTCAGAATTACTTAGGAGTAGAGGTTCAGAGAAATGAAGAGGGTGTCTACTCTCTGAGTCAGAAGGAAAAAATCGAAAAGTTACTGAAGACATATGGAATGGAGAGGGCAAATGAGGTTGACACTCCCATAACTACCCAGTACAAAAATGAACCAGAAGGACAAAAATGTGAGAATGCAACAGCATTTTATTCTCTGTTGGGTTCTCTGTTATATTTAAGTTGTTGGACAAGACCCGACATAACATTGGCAGTGCACATGTTAAGCCAAAGAAGTGCAGACCCGGCTCAGAGAGATTGGGTAGCACTTAAAAGAATCCTAAGGTATCTGAAAGGCACAAAAGATTACAAACTGGTGCTGGATACAGGATATGATCAGCAAGTATATGCATACGCTGATGCCAGCTGGGGGGACAGAGAAAATGGAAAGTCTACCACTGGCTATGCCATATATATTGGAAATGCCCTGGTTCAGTGGAAATCCTAGAAACAAACATTTGTTGCCACAAGTACTTGTGAAGCAGAGTACTCAGCCATAAGCGAATGTGTGTCACAAATAGAGTGGTTTGCTTGTCTAACAAAAGAGCTTGGAATACCTTCTGAAATGCCAATCACTGTGCTAAGTGACAACATGGCTGCACAACAGCTTGCTAACCAACAGAACTTTAAGAGCAAGAGTAAGCATCTTGCTATAAGATACGGAAATGTGAAAAATGCTTTGGAAAGAAATGTGCTAAAGGTACAGCACTGTAACACAAAATGTAATGTGGCGGATTTGTATACAAAATGTTTGGATGCTCCTAAATTTCGAGACTTAAGAGAATTATTAGGTCTCAAGCCTTTGACTTAAGGAGGAGTGTTGGGATTCGCAGGATGTTGAGTAAGTCTGCAGGCTTCAACAGGCTGATGCAATACTCTGTGAAGTGCTGGATCAGAGTGACTCAGTGGGAACGTGATTGGCTATCACCTGTTTTAAAAGGAAAGCCTGTTCAACAGTAATTGTGGTTGTGGTGTGGTTGTGCTGTGGTGTGGTGGTGCTGTGGTGGAGAGTATTCGCTTGCCTTAAGGTGCAGATACTCTGTATGAACTGCTTTTGTAAATACTTGTATATAGCTCACATTAAAAAGACTGCACTAAAAAAGAAACCTGGGACTCTGACGTTTCGCTAAAGGAGCTGCGAGGAATTCGCGACACTAGGATCCTTGTAGCTCAAAAGTGGAAGTCACAGGAGACCCCAACGGTTATGGAATGGCAGGCTAAATTTTTTGAATTCACAGAATTAGCTAAAATGACGTATAAAATCCGGGACCAAAAAGGGACAAAGTTTGAAGAAGAATGGGGTAAATTTGTGGCATACATAAGAATTAACTGTAGAAGTTTAAAAACTACAGCAGGGTTAACATAAATCCTGTGATGTGTATAGAAGTGAATAAGGATCTGTAAGAGAAGATCTATATTAAGAAAACTGCAGCTGGGAATTAAGGGAGTCTGGGCGTGAATATACGCAGTGTAAATATGATGACATAAAATGATGACTGTAAAAGATTGTTTTATTTTGTTTATGAAAAAACTCAATAAAAAGCATTTGCAAACAAAAAAAGCAATCACAGTGGTGACACAGGGTCAATAGATCGTCAAACGTCCGGGGGCCCTGTGTGGTCGCCACAAAAGTGGTGGCAGCGGTGGGATAACAACCGTAGGTGGGATCACACCCGTACCTGCGGTGGCATAACATCACTACCTGTCATCACAGAAGTGGTAGACAAGTGGTGGGATTCGGTGGGGAAAACAATACACCTGGAGGGGGGAGGGTAAATCTGTGAAGGGATTACCTAGCGGGGGGGTGTAGTTGTGAGGTACCCAAGATAAGCCGCAAAGCCAAGATAACAAAGAGAAAGAGAGCTCAAAGTCTGTTCTGGTAGAGGGTTTAGGCTGCTAGTCAGAGGAAGCAGAGCTTGAAGGGTTAGAGAGAAAACCCACAGCAGAACTTTGGGACCAGAGTCTTGAGAGAAGCCTAGCCAGAAGAAACAGAACTAAGAGGAAATTTCTCTTATTTTGTTGATTTATTGATAATTCTCACTCACACAATATGCCACCCAAAAAGATAAGAAACCCTGTGAGGGAAACAACTTATGAAAGCTCTGAAGGAGAGGAGAATGGAAATCCTCAGAGGGAAGAGGAGAGTTTAGAAAATATAACTAATATTCAACCTGAGGCAGGAGGTCCAAAATTCTCTGAAGAATTTGAAAAGTGGAAGAATATAGACTGGAATTGGAAAAGATTAAATCTGCACAGGAATTAGAAAGAATGCAATTTCAGTTGGAGATGAAGAAACTGGAATTAGCAGCTATGGAGAATCAAAATAATAGTAATAACACCAGTAGTCCAACTCAAGTGAAGGTAGATTTAAAGCGTTTTCCTGAGTTTAAGGAAAAAGATTGCCCTGAGGCTTTCATTATATCATTTGAAAGAGCTTGTCAAGACTTTCAAGTGAAAGATGACAATAAGATGACGATCCTTAGAGGCAGGATCAGTGGGTCATTAGCACAAATTTATGCCCAAATGTTGGAGAACGGTTCCCAAAATGTTGATATATTTAAGCAACTAATATACACCAGGTTTGGGATTACCTCAGAACAACTAAGAAAGAAATTTAGAAGTGTGACTAAAGTGAGGGAGGAGACATCTGCTTAGCTTGGGGCGAAAATCTCAAACTACCTCACAGAATGGTTAGAACAGGAGAGGGCAGACTCCGTTCCAAAAATCAGAGAAGTGTTTTGCTCTGGAACAATTTTATGAAACAATAAACGGCCAATTAAAATATCTTATAAAGGAAAGACACCCTCAATCACTTCAAGAAGCCACTAACTTAGCTGACCAAATAAATGAAATAAGGGACCATAGGTTTGATGAACCAAGTTTTGGCGGGAAAGTGTGGGGGACTAACAGAAATAAATTCCAACCAGCAAAGGGAAACCCCTCTTCAGAGAAAGACAAGGGAAGTAGGCCATTGTCAAAAGGGCAAAATGACAAGGCCCAAGCCAACACCAGTCTCACTGAGGAGAAAGGGTGGAAAACAAATTATACAAATCCCAAAGAAGTTCAATGCTGGGGATGTGGAAAATTTGGCCACAAAAGTTTTAATTGTAGAGCTGGAGGAGAAAAGTCTGGTAATATTAGCCCTCAGAAAAAAAACGTATTGCATCAAAGCTGAGGAGAGTCAAGCTACCGTATTTTTCGTTCTATAGGGCGCACCGGCCCATAGGACGCACCTCGTTTTTTGGGGGGGAAATGAATAAAAAAAATTATTCCCCCCCCCGCCGCGGCTGCCGCCCCAAGCCTTGTGCACACCTGCAAGAAGCACGGGGCACCCTCCGGAGGGCTCCCCGTGCTTCGGGCGACAAGCTGCCGCCCCAAGCCTCGCGCGCTCGGCGGGACCTCCTGCCGGGCGCGCAAGGCTTGCGGACACTCGCCGGGGCTGCAGGCTGCTGCCTGCAAGCCTTGTGAGCCCGCGGGAACTCCCACCGGGCTTGCAAGGCTTGCGGATAGCTTCCTGAAGCCTGGAGAGCTTCGCACTGAAGCCTCTCGCTCTCCAGGCTTCAGCGAAAGCCTGCATTCGCCCCATAGGACACACACACATTTCCCCTTCATTTTTGGAGGGGAAAAAGTGCGTCCTATGGAGCGAAAAATACGGTAGTCAGAATAGGCCGAAGCCTGCTGAAGTAGTGGAGGCGAAAGTGGCACATTGCTATGCTATAAAACAAGACAATCTTCTTTTGAAAAATGAAAATAGAAAAGGGGGGGGGGGACTTACTATGTAATGAATCCTGATGTGCAATTTGTGGAATTTCAACAACAACAAGAACTCAACAAAATACTTAATAAAAACAAGAACAAAAAGAAACCAAACCAATCCCTACCCCTAATTAGGTATTATGCAGATAAAAGGCAAAAACTAAAGGACACAACTAATTCAAACCCATTCATTCCAATAGGCTTACTCTGAGTAGAATGTCACTGCATTTTCACTACAACTCCTTGCATTACAGTGTTTGGGTAATTTTAAAAAAGACATATTTGTTCTGAAATCCACTGAGGAGGCATGTGTTGTTGTTATTTTAAGAACCCAAATCATAATCTTTGCTTCTTTTGATTTTTGCCATCCTATATATTCTTGCCTTGCGCAATTAATTTATCCTCCCATCTGTTTTCATTATATAAAAATAAATTATCTCCTTCATCTCGTAAATTCCAATTATGGGTTGGTTGGTTGGTTGGTTGGTTGGTTGGTTAGTTAGTTAGTTCTTCATGGAAATCTTGAAGCTGGGGGGGTGCAGGAGGAAGTTGGGTGGGGAAGTTGGGTGGGAAAATGGATGAGACTCCTTTAAATGAAAAGAGAGAGAGAGAGAGAGAGAGAGGGAAGCAGAACTGTCTCCAAAGAACCAAAAATGTCACATTTTGTCATGGCCATTTTTCTTTTTGCACAACAAGGGAGAGAAAGGAAACTTTGGGCAATCTCAGAGCCACAGAATATGTGGCCCCTCCAGGCTGTTATAGACTGCAATTTATAAAAATAAATTATCTCCTTAATCTCATACATTCCAATTATGGTTGGTTGGTTGGTTGGTTGGTTGGTTGGTTGGTTAGTTAGTTAGTTCTTTATGGAAATTTTGAAGCTGTGTGCAGGAGGAAGTTGGGTGGGAAAAGGGATGAGGCTCCTTTAAATGAAGAGAGAGAGAGAGAGAGAGAGAGAGAGAGAGAGAGAGAAGCAGAACTGTCTCCAAAGAACCAAAAATGTCACATTTTGTCATGGGCATTTTTATTTTTGCACAACAAGGAATAGAAAGGAAACTTTGGGCAATCTCAGAGCCAGAGAATATGGGGCATCTGTGGCCCTCCAGGCTGTTATAGACTGCAATGGGGGGCAGTGTGGTTTAGTGGTTAGAGCACTGGACTGGGACTGGAGGTTTCGAATCATGCCCCACAGCCAGGCCATGTTCCTCCAGCCTCATGAGGAGCCTCTTTTGTGGGGCTAGCGAGTCTGGACCTAGGCCACGTGGAAAGGGTCTTGCAGTGTGCGGCCGTCATGCCCCACAGCCAGGCAAATTTATTTCATACCACACCATATGGCAGCCATTTTGTGTTTTGCTATGTTCTCATTGGTAGCCAATTGGTGGACTGGCCCATGTAGCACTTTCCCAAAATTGGTCTGGCTCCATATAAGGCAGCTGCCTCTGTTCTTATCATATGAAATACCCCACTTTGTATATTAATAGGAGCACGGGATGTTCTGCATTTATATCCGCGGGGGGGGGGGATCTCATGAGCGATATGTCCAAATCTGTTTTTACGCTTGGGGGGCTGCTGCGTCGCTTGTTCCTGAACCTTTTCTTCTTCCCAAATGACCTGAAGATCCATTGCACACCTTGACTTGCATGAAACCTCCTCTCTCTTATTTGCTCAGTGAACCAGACCGGGAGAAGGAGGAATGAAGGAAAACAGAAATCCGGCCTGAGAACGGAGGTCCCTGTCAAGAGAATGGCCAAGATCTCCTCAGGTGAGGATGAAAGGGGAGGCAGGGAAAAGCAAAGAGCCCCTGAAAACATCCCCCCACTCGGGAAGAACTTGTTGGCCAAACCCCTGCACGGAAGTGTATCTGCATGAAGACAGTCAGCACTTTTCTATTGGATGGGTGTCACTGAGCAGAGTTTTCAATGGAGATGGTGTATCCGGATTAAGTGGGGGAAACAGAATGGGGGAGCATTTGGGTGTGGATGATGTCATGCAGATACAGAACTGGACTTGCGTCTTTGACGGGGTGAGCTCCCATTGCTCGGTCCCAGCTCCTGCCAACCTAGCAGTTCCAAACCACGTCAAAGTGCAAGTAGATAAATAGGTACCGCTCTGGAGGGACGGTAAACGGCGTTTCTGTGTGCTGTTCTGGTTTCGCCAGAAGTGGCTTAGTCATGTTGGCCACATGACCCGGAAAAACTGTCTGCGGACCAACGTCGGCTGCCACGGCCAGTAAAGCCAGATGAGTGGCACACCCCCGAGTTGCTCGTGACTGGACTTAAGTGTCAGGGGTCCTTTACCTTTACCTTTTTAAAAGCACTGCACACTGCCATGCGATGTGAAAGTGCTTCATCTTATCAATGGTCACAACTCCTGAAATGAATGGATGGCTCCAATGCTCCATTTGCTGCCTTCCTTCAAACATTAACATTTGTGTATGTTCTAAGATGTTTAAAATAGTCAAAAAGATGACAGCTGTTAATTCCTCTGAATTTGATATCTTCTTTAGATTTTTAAAGGCTGGCTCCCAAAGTTATTTAGGCCTATTGCTTGGCCGAATGTTAATCACACACACACACTTCAGTGGAAACTGCATGCAGCTGAGCAGCTCACATTCGGAGCATCAACACAGAAAGGAACAGAAAGAAAGCAACACAAATACTTTGACAGAAGTGTCTTAGGAAAGCGATTTTAAATCATGGACACCTAGGTTCTGAAAATGGTATTGCCTGTATTGGTGTGAGGGATGGGGTCCCATGGCACACATTCCATGTGGTCCCAGTGCAAAGGAAAAGAGCTAAGATCTTCTCCCTTACTATAATGTCCAAACAAGATGGGATGGGGAAGAAGAATGATAGGTTTGTAAGGAGTCTTCAATAATTTTGCCAAGGAGATTCTTATTGTTCAGGGCCTCATGCTATTAGCCTTTCTTGTACATGGAGATCCTTTATGAAATGCATTCAGGCCCATCAAACAAATCTGTACTGAGATACACATACTGTATCACCATTTTTACTGCTGGAACTGCTCTGAATCTGACTTCAGGAAGAACGCGTTTTAACTGCACAGTGTCCTGGAATAGACACTCTGTTTTGGGAAAGAAGGGAACTGAGTTCCCTCCCATTTTCCACTTTCCTGATGTTCCAAATGACCAGTACCCTGGAGTTATGATTTGTGTTGTTGTCAGGATTCTAACTGGAGTGTAACTGACCTAAGAATTCTGTAGAGCAGTTGCTGCTGTGGCTGGCTGGCTGCTCAGGCGAACGTCAGCTCAAATACCTGCCCTGTTCCTGGCACGCTAGACTGTAGCTGAGGAAGGCATTTCACGTAAGTTTATGGATTAAACATTCCTCACTATGCCATCAGCTGTGTTTATGCTCAGTGGGAAAAGATAGGTGCAGTAAAGGTAAAGGGACCCCTGACCATTAGGTCCAGTTGTGACCGACTCTGGGGTTGCGGCGCTCATCTCGCTTTATTGGCCGAGGGAGCCGGCATACAGCTTCCGGGTCATTATTAAGCCGCTTCTGGCGAACCAGAGCAGCGCACAGAAACGCTGTTTGCCTTCCCGTCGGAGCGGTACCTATTTATCTACTTGCACTTTGACGTGCTTTCGAACTGCTAGGTTGGCAGGAGCAGGGACCGAACAACGTGAGGTCACCCCGTCGCGGGGATTCGAACCACCAACCTTCTGATCGGCAAGTCCTAGGCTCTGTGGTTTAACCCACAAAACAGCAAAATCATGAGCAGCTTCCCATCCACAACAGGTTGCTGAGGTTCTGGCCATTTTCACAGGAACAATGCAACAGTAGATTAAATCAGTAGCAATGTGCTGGAAGAAAGTATGAGTGTCGGCTTCTCTGGATCAGGTGTCTCTACCTAACCAGGGGGTGGGAGAGAGCAGGAACTTTTTCTTTTGCTGCTTCTTTCTGTGCATGGAATGCAGGAGGGAGGATGTCCTTCAATGACTTGACATGCTTGTTATTCCCTCTCTCACTGCATCTTGTCTTCTCTTTTGTTTCCAGGATGTCTGCCAATGTCTCCCCTGGTCCCCTCCTCTCCAAACCCCCCCTGCAGGTGAAAGAAGGCTCCCTGGTAGTCAGATGGCTGAGCTTAGCTTCCGGCCTCCAGCTATCTACATTCCTGGTGGATATTTTGGCCTTGCCGATGTGCATTGTGTCAACACTCAGTGTCAACTGGAGAGTGTGGCGTGTGGAAAACATCAAGGGGATTGGCTCTGGAAACATCTGGATTGGAATCTGGGATGTCTGCTTTTGGAAAGACCCTTCTAACGACGGCAACTCTTTTTGGCATTGCGAAGATCTCAATGAGCAACATCCAACCCTCCCGAGAGAAATATTTATTGCACAGGATTTAATGGCATTAGCTTCCATTATGAATTCAGTGGCCCTAGGATTAATTTCATTTGCCTTGTACAATGTGTTCAAGCCCAGAAAACATAAGGATTTTCTCTTTCGCTTTTTTAGGCTTGGAGCTCTGCTGAACTTAGTTGCAGGGATACTCGTCCTGATTTCTGTGGTATGGAACATGTCTGCTGTCTTACAAAATGGGAAATTGACTTCCCTGAAACTTTTGAATTGCCTCAAATTCCCAGCGAGCAGCATATTGGACCTTCTATTTATCTAGGCTATATCGCTGCAGGTTTCCAGCTGCTGAGTGCAGCATTGGTTGGGATTGAGAGATGTTGCATCAGGACCACCACAACAGATACATCTCTAATAGCAACTGTAGTGGTGATTTCCCCGGGAAGTGCAGTGAATAGCGAGAGTCTAACTACTTGTTCGAAGTGTGGTTCTTTGCTAGATCTGGTAATTCAAGAGAAATCCTCCACAGTTGAGATGGAGGAAAGCTGTGCAAAAGATCTTGTCATTCCCGAGGAATCCTGGGCACTAGAGATGGAGGAAAGCCGTACGCCCCAAAGCTCACCTGAAGGACATCAAAGTCCACCTGAAGTCCCAAAACATACTATTATACATGTTATACCCTACAACAGGGAGTCGTAAACTATCAGATCCAGATCAAGGCAGATCGCTCCATACACGGATGGATCTGCGTGGATCAGGATATGATAGTTTTGTTTTGGGACTTCAGGTGGGCTTTGATGTCCTTCAGGTGAGGAGGCCCTTTTTTTATGACTAGTATGTATGTATGTATGTATGTATTTATTTATTTATTTATTTATTTATTTATGATTTGGTTGATTTACAAAAGTGTGCAATGTCTCTCTTTCATGTTTTTCCCCCCATGTAACATTTTTATAAATCATTTTCATTTGTTGAGACATTAGGAAGAAAAGGGGAAATAGGTGGAGGGGGGAACGATGGGTGGGGGTGGGGTCGGGTGGCGATTTTTCTATTTTACTTACTATACGTAGGGTTTGGTGTTAGCATTGTTTGTGCAGGTTCTTTGCTGTTTGCTTGTAATTAATAAACCAATTAATAAACCAATATTAATTAAAATATTGACTCTGTTCGCATGATCTTGGCCGGTCTTAATGCACGCTCTCGTCCCGTTTTCAGAGCCTCCTCCAGAGCAGACCCACTAAAGCCTAACCAGTGGGTCTACTCCTGTGTAGGATTCAGCTCTTGATAATTGTGCACTTGGGTCTGGGTTAAAGGCGGATCTACATGGATCCTCATGGATCCTCCACTTTTTAAAAAATAACTCCAACAAATGCAGTGTCAAATCACACCTGGAAGGCACGCCTACAGACTGGACTATCAAAAACGTGGATGCAACACCACAAAAACATGGATCCGAGACATGGATCCTCATGAATTCATATGATTTTTATAGTGAAACAAAATAAAAACACCATGATACTGTAGACCACTTTTTAGTCTGTAAGCAGAACCAAAAAAATCACGCATCCATTTTGCGAAATGGCGCAAAAACATGGTTAAAAAACACGGATCCTCATGGATCCTCATGATTTTTTCACTAGATCATCCCAAAGTCACCATCAGATCAAACATCATGGCCATGGGCACAGCATGCAACACAAAAATCATGGATCCACAGCTTCCTGGCGACACCGTAGCCCAAAAACGTGGTTTTGAAGTACGGATCCTCGGACTTCCGGGGGCGGCGCGAACGGCAAATGGCGGTCCTCTTCTGAACGGGAGAGGAGGCTCCACAGACAACGGGTCGTCCGCTACGGCGAAGCGGAGACCCACATCGGAAGACCCCAGGCAACAAGAGCTTGGGGTCTTGGGGCTCGGTGGGCGCCTTGAGCGACCCTCCAACGCGAAAGGAACCCCGTAAGGGGCTCCGGAGCGTGGAGAGGGTTGCGGCGCTGAGAGCTGCTTCACAGTCTGTGGAGCGAGCCGCGCTGCTGTTGCCGGTGAGCGCTGATCCCTTTTCCTGTCAAAATACGGATTCGGATGAAAAGCAACTTATTCGTGAGTAAAGACTGAATTACTTGAAATTAGAGACTTTAAATGAAAAATCCTAATTGGTTTGAAGAGACGGAGAGACGTGGAAACAGGAAGTCCGTCTTCCGCAGCCATTGAACTTGAAAAAAGCAACGAGCTGGAGGAGTGGAGGCTGAAAGAAAGAGATTTTAAACTTTACAGATCTAAGCATCTACTGAACTTGCAATTGAAGGTAAAGACTTTAAGTTAAAGATTTGGAATTATTACTTGCACTTGACTTTCCTCCTTTTATTGGATTACAAATTAGAAGGTGAAACCCAGAGTCAGGAGCTGCCTGAGCATTGAGAGATTGAGCTGTCAGTATTGCAGATTTGGATACTGTATATTGGAACTTGCAACAATCTGAGGGTATTGAGACCTTTTAAATTTGAAACATTCTTTTTTCAAGACAAATAAGCACTGTCTGTAACAAAGTGACCATTTATAAACTCTGCTAAATATTTCTATCTGAAGGTTCTTGGATATTAAATTAGACTCTGAAAGACATTTTAGGCTCCCTCTAGAGGATTGGATTAAAACAGTGACTTTACATGTACATTTACTTTTGATTCCCTTGTTGTTTGCCGCTCTGGGCCTTTCCATTCCCATGGGAAAAACTCAGTGTGACCTTGACTGATAGATAACGTTGGAATGAGTGGCACAAGAAAAAGAGGGAGAGTTAGACAAACAACTTTAACAACTCTAACCTCAGCCTCGCAGACACGTAGATCATCTGTACCTACTTTGCCCTCAGAAGTAGAAGTTGAAGAAGTTGCCTTGTTACAGGCAAAAGAGGGAGAGGGTGAAGCAGAGCAGTTACAACTGGAAGATATGGCCTCAGGAGTATCTGTTTCTGTTCTAGACAAAATCTTTGAAAAATTGGAAGCTTTGGACAAGAAAGTAGATGTGCAATCAGCAAAGATTGACAAAAATACAGAATGTCTAAATAAATTAACCATACAAGTGGTACAGAATACACAAGCAATTGGACAGTTAACGGAGGCCTCAGCAGAAAATCGGAAATTGGCTGAGGACACCAGACAAAAATTAGAAAATTTAGAGCAAGAGGTAAGACCACTTACTAAACAAGTTGGGGAACATCAGATTTATCTTTCTATGATAGAACTGCGAAATCGTGAGAACAATCTGAGGATTAGATCATTACAAGAGGCAGAAGAAGGAAATTTAACTGAATTTTTGACCAAAGAATTCTCCAAGTTCTGGAATTTGGAAGAAAAGGACTTTAAAATTGTGTCAGCTTTCAGACTTGGAAGATTCATAAAGAAGGAGAGGCCCAGAGACTGTTTGATAACATTGAGATCAAAGGAGGAAAGGGATAAGATTTTGGGCCTACATTACGGAAAGTCACTGGAGGTTTTGGACAGAAGAATTGAAATATATAAAGATATTCCAAGACAACTGCTGGATCTTAGAGCCGCCTACTCTGAACTTGCTAAACTACTAAGGAGCAACGCAATTCCATTCAGGTGGGAATTTCCCCAAGGAATATCTTTTACTTTTAGAGGGAGAAAGGTCAAAGTTAGAACATTGGAAGAGAGAGACAAATTTTTGACTACATACGGAGAGGACCTTCAAAAGGAATTGAATTACCTTCTGGGCCTGGGGCAACGCCAGCATTAACACCAGCACCTGGGGAACCTGAAGATTCAGAGAAGATACCACCCCTGGAGAAATAACCAGATTGATCCAGGATGTCTCTGCAATTGCTGAGCTGGAATATCAATGGTTGTAACATTCCGGAAAAAAGGAAGAAAATATTTCACATATTAAAAAAGAACAATTGGACATTATCTGTTTACAAGAAACACATGTGACGAGGCTCCATAGAAAAGTGTTAATAAATAAAAGATTGGGCCAGGAATTTGTATCGTCGGACAAAGTTAAGAAGAGAGGCGTGGTGATATATGCAAAAGAGAGCCTGTCACCTAAATTCTTATTTAAAGATGAACATGGAAGAATCTTGGCTATTGAGATACAACATCAAGGAGAGAAACTGTTGATATTAGGAATCTATGCACCTAATGAAGGGAAATCGGAATTTTACAAGAAGCTGCACGAGACAATGCTGGACTATCTGGATTACAACAACATCATAATGATGGGAGATATGAATGGGGTCGTATCAACTAACATGGACAAGTCACAAAGTCAAAATGTTACAAAAGACGGCAGACTACCTAAAACCTTTTTTGAAATGACTGACAATATGGATTTGATTGATATTTGGAGGACAAAGAACCCACTAGGAAGAGAGGGAACATTCTTTTCTGAAGCCCAACTGACCTGGACAAGAATCGACCAAATATGGATTTCTAGAGGCCTGGCACCTAAGGTCAGAAAAGTGGAAATCTGCCCAAAGACCTGTTCCGACCATAATGCAGTAAAGATGGATATGACACTACTACCAACTGGATCCTTTAGATGGAAGATGAATGACAATTTGTTTAGAGACCAGGAAATTACCAAGAAGGCCCAAAAAGTCTTGAAGGATTACTTTGAGATAAATATGAATACTACGGTGGAAAAAGAATCGTCTGGGACGCAAGTAAAGCTGTAATGAGGGGATTCTTGATACAACAGAATGCAGTAAAGAAAAGAACACAAAATGAGAAAAAAGATAAGATTTTGGATAAAATAAAAGAATTAGAGAAGAAATTAAGAGTGAATCCGAAGTCACAGCCAACTCTGAGAGAAATTAAACTTTATCAAACACAATACTCTAAATTGATAAATCAGGAAATTGAATGGAAGGTTAAATTAATGAAACAAAAAACGTTTGAGTCGGCGAATAAATGTGGAAAACTGCTAGCTTGGCAGTTGAAGAGAAGACAAAGATTAAATACGGTTACAAACTTAGAGGTTGATGGAAAAATCATTCAGAATCCAGTGGATATTAGAAAGTGTTTCCAGAGATATTTCAAAAAACTATACACCCAAGGGCCGCAAGACGAAGTTGAGATTAAACAATTTTTGGCAAAAAATGGACTATCTAAATTGTCACAAGAAAATAGGACAATCCTGAACTCTAAAATAACACGACAGGAGATTGAACAAGCCATCCAGAACATGCAACTCGGCAAATCTCCAGGGCCAGATGGGCTGACCTCCAAGTACTATAAGACATTAAAAGACTATTTGATACAACCTTTGATGGAGGTCAGCAATGAAATTATGGAGGGGAAGAGGGCACCGGAGTCGTGGAAGGAAGCGTTTATCACATTAATACCAAAGTCGGAAGCTGAAAAGACACAACTTAAGAACTACCGTCCCATCTCCCTTTTAAATGTGGATTACAAAATATTTGCAGACATTTTGGCAAGTAGATTTAAAAAAGTTTTAAATGAAGTAATTCATAAGGACCAGGCCGGCTTTCTCCCAGGTAGACATCTGTTTGCAAATACAAGGAACATTATTGACATTTTGGAACTTTTGCAAACAGATATAAATACAAAAGCAGTTTTAATTTTTATAGATGCGGAGAAGGCCTTTGACAATATCTCCTGGAAATTTATGATGGGAAACT